AAAAATTAGTTGGACGTGGTAGCGCGCGCCTGTAGTTCCAGCTACTTGGAAGGCTGAGGCAGAAGGATCGCCGGAGCCCAGTAGGTTGAGGCTGTGGTAGCCGGGAGCAGCCACTGCACTCCAGTCTGGGCGACAGAGTGAGACTCCAACTCAAAAAAAAAAAAAAATTAAAATAAAAAAAATAAAAAACAAGAACTAAATCAGGGGTGATAATGGGGGAAGGAGAGCCTTGCCTCTGGTTGCTTGGAAGGGCTCAAGGCTCCAGGCGGTGGTTCCCCAGTGCCCCCAGGGCAAGGCTTCTCAGTCGGTCCCTTCCCCAGTGTAGACGAACAGATCTACCGGGGCTGTGTCTCCCGAGACTGCATCGGCAGCGACTGGGCTGAGTCTGGGTGTTGTGACATTGGCCACCCGGGATGTCCTAGGAGATGTTGCAGGAATGTGGTGCGGTGTGACGTCCAGCTGTGGGGATATGGCAGACACACCGTGGCAGCGTGTCTTTCCTAGGGCCTGGGCCTGGCAAGCCGGAGTCTCACCTGAGACATCGGAGTGCCCCAGACAGAGGAGTCTCACCTGCTCGAGGTGTTCCCTGCCACAATGACACAGCCACTCTGGCCCCAGCCACCTCGTGGCTGCTGTCACGAGACATCCACAGAGACCTGGTCCTCTGTCCTCTCTCCAGGGGTGGCCACGTACACGGACAAGCTGTTCAAGTTCCGCAATAACCGCTGGGAGGACATCCTGAGCGACGAGGTCAACGTGGCCCGTGGCGTGGCCAGCCTCTTTGCCGGACGCTCTGTGGCCTGTGTGGACAGGAAGGTGAGTGCAGGGACGCCGGGAGGGGGCGGGGGAAGTGATGGGAGGGCCAGAGGAGAGCCACCAGGCAGATGTCCCTGACAGAGCGGTGGCTTGCACTGAGTGTGCTAAATATCAACAAAGAGACTCGAAGGATGCGTGACAATGTCCTTTTCACATCCTGTCTCCACGGGTCCTCCCAGCAACCATCAAGGAAGCCACCTGGGGGGGTCACTGTGTCCACTGGACACTTGCAGGGACGGAGGCCCAGCTCTTGCCTGGGGACCCAAAAATGGGTTTGCGGTATGGCTAGGACAAGAACCAAGATCTCCTAACTCTAAATCCTGCTCTCATACAGTCACTCAGCTAACATTTATTAAGTGCCTCTGGTGTGGCAGGCATTGGGCCGTGGGCCCTTGGTAAATATTTGTGGAACAGATGAAGGCACCCCAAAGGGATTCATAGGTGGGTGAGCAGGAGGAAGGAGGGACTGCCTGAGTATACAAGTGCTCGTGGCCAGGCGCAGTGGCCACGCCTGTAATCCCAGCATTTTGGGAGGCCGAGACAGGAGGATCGCTTGAGGCCAGGAGTTCAAGTTCAGCCTGGACAACATAGCAAGACCCCATCTCTAAAAAAAAAATTTTTTTTAATTAGCCGGGTGTGGTGACACACACCTGTCATCCTAGCTACTCAAGAGGCTGAGGTGGGAGGACTGCCTGAGCCCAGGAGGCTGATGCTGTCTTGAGCCGTGATCGCAACGCTCTACTCCAGCCTGGGTGACCTTGGTTCTAAAATAAAAAATTAAATTAAAATTTAAAACAAGGGCCCTAGTTCATCAGTAGCTCTGCCAGGCTGCACCCAGCACAGAGGTGCCCCCTGAAGTGGGTGGGGAGGGGCAGCTGTGCCGTCTGCCTTTGGGGGGTGGCGGCCGCCCACCCGGGCCTGAGTCCCAGCAGGCCCCGCCAGAGCCCGAGGCTGGCTGCGAAGGTGATTTAGCCTTCCTGTCACCTGCTTCCCGGCCGCCCACCTCCTTGGCTTTGTAAACAGTCGCCACTAAATCAGGAACCCAGCTGCTGCCCAGAGTCCTGGGGCACGTCTCCGGCCCCCATCGCGGGCAGGAGTGGGGACAGGGCCAGGGGCTTGGCTCGCCGCGGGCCTGAGATGGCACCAAGGGGATTGGGGCTGCAGTGCGAATCTTTGCAGCAGGGGCCTCCAGGCCTTGGGAGAAGGCAGGTGCCAGGTATAAATATTTATTTCTTAACAAGCTGGTGCTGGGAAGGGAAGCCAAGCTGGGCTGTGAAGCCACATTTAGCCTGACCTGAATCCGTGCCACCTGGACTCCCACCTGGTGGGAGGGGACGGGAGGCGGCTCTGCGAACAGCCCCAGCCCGTGAGGGGGGGGTGCAGGGCCCGGTGGAGGCCGGGAACCTCTGCCCAGCCTCTTCCTGGCTTCCTTCTCGCTTGTCCGGGACGGAGGCTTCCCACCCTCAGCTGAAGTGGAACCTTCGCGGAGAACCGGAGGGAGGGCCATGCAGGTTAATTACAAGGAGACGCTCTCTTTCTCCTAACAAGGTCATCTGCACACCCACGCACGTAGCCACGGACAAAGGCACCCTGAAGTGCAAAGAAATGAGAGAGGGTGAGGCCCAGCACCGGCACACAGAGGCAGGCGTCCAGGCTGGCCCCCACCCTGCCCAGCGCCCCATGGGGGTCTCCTGAGCCTCGGGGAATGCGGGAGAACCCCAAAAGTCAGCCTGGCACCCCGAGAGACGTTGCTTTCTGCATCCAGCTGCCACCTCGCCCACCCCAGGGGCCTGAGCACCGTGAGGAGAGACGTGAAGAGAGGCCGAGGCAGGAGCGGTGCCACAGGTGCAGGAATCACAAGGTCAAGGGGACAGGAGCGCCCATCGACGCCTGTCACACTAGCGACATGCCAAGCCCTGCGCTAATGGTCTGCGTGCACCTTCTCACTGAATCCTTAGGGTGACCCTAAGGTAGATGCTGTTCCTAGTCCATTTGACAGATGTGAAAACTAAGGCTTCGAGCGGTTAGGCAGCTTGACCTTGGCCATGCACGGAGTTGCAGCCAAAGCCAGGAAACAAGCCCTGTCTGGCTGAAATCGAAGCAGACGCCTTTTTCTCCTCGGCTGCCCTGCCTCTGGGCGAAATGATATCAGACATGAATGTTTTGTTGGTTTGTTTGTTTTCGTTTTGTTTTTTTTGAGTCGCAGTCTCACTCTGTCGCCCAGACTGGAGTGCAGTGGCCGCTCCCGGCCACTGCAGCCTCGACCCGCTGGGCTCCAGCGATCCTT